TTTTAAGAAATGAGATGTAGCAAGATGCTATCGGTGAGAGTCTCAATTCATGGTAAATGCTGTGACAGGACCTCCTGGTGTCACAGTTTTGACTAAAGCAAGCAGCCACCTAAAGAGACATGTCCAGCCACAGCCAGCACACCCACTCCTCCCCTCCCACAACCAAGCTGGCTTGGTCTTCCTCAGCAGAGATATGATGCTAAATCTCCCATTAGAGAGGTAGATTTAGTATTGTAGTCTGTATACAGAAAATTGGAATGCTAGATGTGGAACATACAACTTCAAGTGAAAAAGGCAAGGAAGCCACACCCACACAGTGCCCTTTCTAGCCTGAAAAGCAACACATTTACCTCAGAAACTGGCTTTCAATCAGGTGCCAATGAATTCCAAGGCAGGAGGTACCCTGCTACAGAAATGTTCAGTTTTCCAGTCCAACAAAACCACTGTAGTCTTTCTGGGACTATATCAAAGAGACAGAAATGTATATGGCTTTTTTTTCCTTCTTAAAGGCAACAGAGAAGCTCTAAAACTCTGATTTAAAGGCACATTTTAATTCATTAGATATAGAGAAACCAACTTTGGCAAACAAAGAGGTAAATAGCTAAACTGTTATAGTTTCAAAGAGACAGCCTTAAATGGCACCAATCTCTTAAGGAAATTAAGAATAAAACAGTTCAGAATACAAGAGACATCATCATTTATACCTGCCTCAAACACAAAACTGAACAAGAAGCATGCTCACATTTTAGCAAGCAGAACTGATACAGGATAGTCTTCTGTAAGCAAAGAGGCAGCACTGGAGGCAGCAGCAGCTGGTGCTATGACAGCAACACATCCAGTATCCCACCCACACAGACACACTTGCAAGCTACAGGGATGTGCCTTTAAGACCATTTCACATACATAGAAAAGACAGTGAGTGGCCCATAAGGAAAAGCAGATATAGATATATTCTTTTTACCCTATTAATGAGCTCCTACTACAGTTAATCGGTGGTATAATACACAGCACAAGGTATTTATCTACAGAAACTCAATGCAAGTGCAATAATGTTCCATTTCTGATAGGTATTTTCAACTGCAAATTCCCTCCCACCCCCAAACCAGGTCACTCATGGTTTACAGATCTTATATTCGGCAGTACATGGAGTGCTGTGACGTTTCCTACAAACAAAAAAACAAGTCAAATCAGAGAGTTTACATTTAAATGGTTTTTACATTTATACTGAAAGCACATCCTTAGTTTTAGCATTAAACCAACAAGTCATGAAACTAAATCATTCCTCTTCTTACTAAGCAACTGCTTGACTGAGGAGAATTTTGCTTCATTTCATCCACCAGACTGTTAAGAATGACCCATGGAGCTGAAGAGCATTTGATCCAAATGGATCCTCTCAAGTCATGAAGGGGCCGTGCCCAACTATTATCAAAAACTGACAACACAATAGTTATAGGATTCCTAATTTAGAGACTATAACAGAAGCATCCCTTGTAATTCATTATAAACCCAGTCCCTTTGTTTAGTATGTATTTTATAACCAGGAGCTGAATATTAGCTTGTGAGAATTTTGATTCTGTAGTTTGCTAACAGCAAATTTACAATTCTTAAAACATATGAGGATTAAAATTTGTAATGACATCCACATATCCATGTTTTCAAGTGCTTGAATAACTCCTGTTTTGCTTTCCAGGAAAGCCCCAAACCTCTGCACTATTACTCTGGGTCTCTACTGAGTTCTAGGTACCCTCAGAAACACTCAGGGGTTACCAGTGTGCACACACAGCCAGACCATTAACTCCTCTTATCGCCCTCATGTGCAAACAGTAAGACTGGAAATAAGAACTTTGTTTTATTCTCTCTTGATTCCCTTTTTTCTCTCTCTAAAACCAAGCCAAACTAACCCCAAAACCTAATCTTAACTAAATTAGAAACATCTTACTTCAGAGAGAACTTCATTCATCCATTCTTTGGAAGAAACTCCAACCTTAATTCTCACATACACCAACCTCAAGCTTATCAAAATTACTGAGAAGTCACTTGTTCTTTAGAAGTAAATAAAATCAACTCTATGCATTTGGAAAGACCTTTACATTAAGTTGGAATAAGAGTCATACTGTTGCCATCACCACTTTCTCAGAATCTGTGCCATGGAGGGAAGCAGCACAAATGGAGATGCTCGTTTACAAACCTATTTGTGCACAGACTCCATTAAGGTACTAATGACAAAATCCTGTCCAGGAGCAGTCAAACTAAGCTGTCCTGTCTAAAACCTCTCCTGTTGTAACAAGGTTAGAAGAGCCAGGATTTTGAAAAAGCTCATCTGAGCCTGTGCAAGTGCAGGAGCAATCGTGACTATCCCCAAATGTGTCTGACTACTGGATTAAGCACAAGCTCCAAAAAACAGCAGAGGAAACTGGTTCCAAACAAGCCACTATATTTTGACCCTTTTTAGGGCTGCAGAACTCTGAATCTGAAAAAAGAATTCACCTTTTTATAAAAAGTTTTAAAAAGACTTGTCTGCACCTTCATTTATTTTCCTTCTAGCAAGCTGGAAAGACAGATCAGGGGTTCTGACAGCCACCAGATCTGGTTGGCTCTGAAGGGATGCACACCACCTTGGGAATTCTAGTGTCTGTGTCACACAGCAGAGGTGGTTTCCAGCTCCAACAGACTTCTGATTATAGGGAAACATATGGCTGGCAAAGAAAAGAATTAACCACTGGAATCCATTTCACATTCACCTGTTTCAGTACAGGTGCAAACATTCTACTGAGGATGTACATTATCTCACAGAAAAATCTCTCACTCCTTCTTTAGAGACAACTCAAACCTAAACCATGTGCTACACAATCCCTGGAAGTGACCATTTCCAACACTGAATGGTAATTCTTTATGTACTATAGCCTATCACCCCCAAATTAATGAATGGTTGTTACAGTTCACAGTTAGCTGGACTCCATACTGCTCCCAAAATTCTACGTAAGCCATAATAAAAAGCAAGAACACTTAAGCTTCACTGCAAAAGTCCAAATGAAGTGGAAAGGGTATACCTTTTCAGGACTCAATTAAGCCTTTTGTGCAGTTTCTTCCATCTCAGCTGGTACATTAGTTTTTAAAATACATGTTTCCTTGCAACTCTCATCAACTGTATACGAGCTGAACAGCAGAAGGGGAAAAAGGTCTAATTGAATGTCCTATAAAACTGGCAGATTAAACACATAAGGAAAGAGAGGGCAAGAGTTTTGCTGTCATTGGAAGATGACAGCCCAACAAGTGTGAGGCACTGGAAGCACAACAGCTGAACAAGGCTCAGCTACATCAGGAACACAGAAAACTCAACAGGGAGAACCAGGCCTTAACAAGAGGAGATTAGACCAGGGGCTTTGGACAAGAAAGAGGTTTAATGGTCAGACACTGACAGCAAGGAAGCTTCAGGAAAGCACTGGCCACACAAAGACTGCTCATGTTGTAAAATCTTCAGGAATACAACGTGCCTTCATCTTTGATGATGTTGCCTTAGATCTCCCCTCTCTATCCCCTGAGAATTCTCTCCACTGGCAAAGGCAGAAAGTGCTGTCCTAGTACTATGAACCCCCATGTGCTCCTATCTGGACCATCCAGACTGCAGAGTACCCAAGTCATGGATGAAAAGCAATTGCTCAGAGGCACTGAAATGCTTCCCAGCATGCAGGGCCACAGCCACACTGTCCACAGGGCCACCCCAGCCCTTCCAACAACCCTGCACGGCCCACGTGGAAGATGCCAAGGCTAAAACCTCACTGGATATAAACTTCTGGCTTCTCCCAAGAAGTACCATGTGTCCTTCATTCCAAACAGGAACCACAGGGCTATTTCCTCTGGTTTGCTTTATTTATAGCATTGCTTCCTTTCACAAACCCCAGACACCTTTTAACAAAAACTGTGGGGATTTAAGTCAGTTTTGATGAGATGCTTATCAGAACATTCTATGCATAACACCTAACTTCCTCTGAATTTTCAGTGTGTTGCATGTTACAAACTGTTTTCCAACAAAACAGGCTTTTTTCAAGAAGATAAAATAAGACATCACTGCAAGAAGCAATGCACAAAGAGGCACTTAAATCTCCTGCCACCTCTCCATGAGAGAGCACACACAACAATTGGTTGTTTTGAAGATAAAGTTCAAAAGACCCTGTATGACTCATTAAAAACAAAAGAACACTACTACTTATACATCTATTATTTTACAGTTGATTTTGCACGTCTTTAACATCTGGACACCAATCACCACTGCTGCAGGAGGTAAAACTGAAGTGGAGCCACACATTAAACCCTCTAGTGGCAAAGCTATTTGCTTTTTCCAATGGCACAGGGGCACCACTTTAGGCCAGGTTTGTTTTTTTTTTTTTCACATTTTCCTGCTAACTAAGCCCATAGTATTTTATTCAGGGTGTTTCTGGTCCAAACTACCAAACAGTGGTTCTCCAGTTACCCCTCACTACATTAGCACATCCTACATAGAAGCAAGGAAGCTCCTCAGTTCACCACCAAGGCTCCCAGCTCACAGGAACCACTCTGGCTCTTACAGCCTGTGAGACCTTGTGAAGCCAGAGGGTACCCAAGCTATAAAATAACCCAAATCCACACAAGCCAATACTACCACTGGTTTTAAAAGGTAAACTGACATGTTTTAGAGCAGATACAAAGAGCACTTTCCTCTGCAAGTGTACCTATGCTAAACACAAGCTTAAGAACAGGGCTTTTCCTTCCTTGAAATTAGTGCAAGTGTTAATTAGCAGCTTATCTGAACAGCAAATACAAACACAAAAGTCAAATATATTGTTAGGCACTTTAGCTTCCATTAGCTGCTGGAATAAGCTCACATATAACCCACCAGGCATTTGAAAAAGAAAGGGCAGATAAAGCTGAAGAAACTCACATACACGTTAGCAGGGCTTTGGCTCAGTCATTTACAAATCTGAAATAATAATAAGAGCAATAAAAAAAGTGGGTGTACTCACCCATTTTGTGAAAAGAATTTCTTATAGACCCAGAAGGCTGCCAGCAACACCACAATTGCCACAATCACTTTAGGAAGAGTTAAAAAAAAAAGCCTTAGTGTGATAAAGATTATGTCTAGATCACAAAAAAAAAAGTCTCAAAAGTTCTTAGCACTGACTTCACTTACAGTCCTATACAACCTCTGCCCATCTTCCTTCCCACCACCCCAGAACCTCTTAAAATTTGCATGGTTTGTTTCACAAACATGTATTTGATGCTTTACCTCAAGACTCTTCAAGATAGTTCAGCTCAGCAACAGTGACCACCAAGCCAGCAACCCCCCCCCCTGCTCAGCAACATTACAGCAGATATGTCAACATCCTCACAGTGCTTTTAATGATTTTTTAGGAAAGTGGTAGGTTTAAAAAAGTGGGTAATAAAAGCAAGGACAGAAGATGGACTAAGCACTTGTGTTCACTGATATTTCCTCAGGCTTCCAGTAAACCCAAGCTCTAAAGAGTTTGAGAAAGTGACCAAGTTGTGGAATATTGCCTTTGAAATCTGATGGAACATACATGCAAAAATACACATTTTAAATTAAATTAATCTGCAATTGCTAAGTAATCTTTTCTTGAACCATGCAGCTTTAGGAGCAGGAAAGCATTTTTAAAATAACCAAAACTGCAAAATCATGTTATATTACAGCAGTCACAGGTGATGACCAGAATATCAATTCCACAGAAAAAAATACAATCCACATTGGATCTTGTTCAGGTTTTATAAGATACTTACAACAGATGATGGCTGTAATATACCCACCTAAAAAGAGAGTGAATCGGTATCACAAGATGAACATGTGCTTCTTATTCAGACATTACTATAAAAATATTCACAAAGTTTTAGCAAATAGATCAAGCACTTCGACCAACACAGTCCTTGTGGCAGGCCAGTCCATATCCTAACATTTATTTAACTTAAAACATTTCTATTTTGAAAGAGATTTGACCAAAACCTATTTTACTTAAGTCAAAATAAAGAAGGAAGTTGGCTTAAAAGCTTTCTCCTGAACACAAAACAATGTCCCAAAGAAGATAAACCTCTGTTACACATATTTTCATTTCAGTGGAAATTCTCAGAGTTCATACTTACTTAACTGGCAAGTTGGCACTCCAGGAACCCACTGGTTTTCTCCAATATACTGGATGCGAGCTTCACCGTGTAACGTGTAGCCTGGGTAACATTCAATGGTAATAAAATCCCCCACAGAATACGACTCGTTTCGGCCACCAACTATACTACCATATTTTATGTGTGGAGCAGAACCAGGACTTTCAGACCTGCCTGGAAAGAAAGGGGTGGAAAAAAAGAAAGAAACAGAAATAAAGTCCAAGAACAGCGCTGGTACACGAAGCAGATTCAAGAAGCTGCCATCAAAAAGTCCCTGTGTGTGTGTAAATATCAGGAGCTCGGTCAATCCTTCAGATGTTTCATATGTAAAAGCTGTTTCTTTATACTTCTTTTAAGTATAAATGGTTCCTGTACAGAAGAAACACTACTAGGGGTATTCATTAAGGTGATACAATCTTATGATGTGGTAGCTAAGAAATCTGGTTTTGTCGCTTAATTTTGTAAGCTGTAGAATCATTTCCAAGCCCCTTATCACACTCATGCATTTTGGAAAGCCCAAACATACTCTGCATATTGGTTCTCACATTCTTAGGAATTCAGTATTACAGTAGGCATGTAAAAAATTCTATACCTGTATCTCAGCTAACTCTCACCCAAAAGCTCTTTGGAGTCAAGAGTCACTTGAACACCTAAAATACCTGCCCACACATGAGGCTCCATGTCAGCTTCCTCAGCTCCCAATTTACTACTAGTGTTACAATTTTAAGTTTTAGCTAAGACAGATTTACAACATTCTCAACACAAAAAAAACCCCAACAGTTGGATTCTTTTTTAAAGACTTACTTTTTTCACAAGCTGGTTTTGGAGACCAGGTGCTGTTCTCTTGACAGGTGATTATTCTGGATCCAACCATGAAATAGCCTGGATTACACTCAAAGGTGACTGAGGCCTTATACCTATAGGGAGGTGTAAATCCAGATGATTTTCTTCCATTTTCAATGCTCGGGTTATCACATTTGACCACTGAAATTGGTAAACAAAAAAGCACTCTGAAATATTTGTTAACAGCATTTTTGCAAGAGACACAGCATCCTTTTACTACCTGTAAGTCTCCTTATCTAATGCCTCCAACTGTTTTGGAGGGGCTTTGTAAAATGGTTATTCTCTTGAAGATGCAGGAAATCTTGTTTCAAGCTATTGCCCTGTAGCTGTAACACAGTCAAGTAAGAAATGGGATGGGATTGTATCAATTATTGCCAATTCCAAAAGACAGGCTCTTGTACGGTGGCAGAATTCCAGAAAACAAAGTGATGTTGCTTAGGGTTCAAACAACAACATGCAAGCATCTGGTATTTCTCCCTAAATCTGCAAAGCTTTGTGCTTTGCATTTATTTCTGTACTTGCAGAGTAGCTGTGTTTAGAAAAAGTTTCTCCTTACCTTTTTACTCCTCACAATCTAGCTTCCACATTCTTGCTCTTTACACAATTTCTCTTCAGCTACCCAGACTTCAGTCTCTCAGTTCCTTTACTTTGTCCCTGTCCCTTCTCCCAACAACAAGCTCATGCATGTATTTTTTAAGTTTTAACTTCAACTTTAGTTGTATTCCATGTCAAAATTAAACCATATCCAGTTGATTGGATCTCTACTGGAACTATAGGAAATTTAGTACCATAAAACCTGTTTCTTCTTTTCTACAGAGAAGCTCTTAACCCCACCCCCTGTCCTGGAATCCCACAGGCTATGATAAGCATACTAAAAATCCCAACCACCTCTACATTGTGGAGGCTGTTCACTCCAAACACCATTGAAGTGCTCATCCTGTGTGCAGAAGATAGTAGCTGGGCCAATGAGGGAGAAGGGATCTGTGCCTCCTGGGACATCATCACACGAGTAGGTTACTGATGACTGATAAAAATAATGCTCTGCTTCAGTGTAGCGCCCGTTGGCGATGCTTGGAGGGGGTTCACAAGGAATTCCTAGAAAGAAATCACAAAAATTGTGACAGAATTTTGCTCTTACCTTCTTCCTCTCAGGAAGAGTGAGCCTTGATTTCCAAGCAATGTCATCTAAAGTCTGACACAGTGCTGAGACAAGCTACAATTATACCCAAGAGTTACCAACAGTCATTCAGTGGAGGGAGTCCCAGTCTCAAGGCTGACTGTAACCAGTATGAGCCCATCACCCCAGTAACTTGTACTTTTCAGTTGTCCTTCTTCAGGCACATCCCCAGTAGTTCCAAAAAAATAAAAATCAATCCTGCTTTACCATTATTTCTTCTACTGGAAAGTTTATGGCATAGATGTTTTTAAATGAACTACCATAACCTGAATACATGGCAGTAATTTACTTACTTTCACAGAAAGGAAGCTCTCGATCCCAGCCAACAGCTTTATTCATAATTACACAGGTACTTTGATCAGTTCCAATTAATCTGAATCTAGGCAGGTAAAAAAAAAATTAAAGAGGTGAAACTTAAGCAGCCTCTCATATCTCCAACAAACAGATACTTTGTTTCTGCCATTCTGTTCTGTGCTCCTGGGAACATGACATACTTAATTTTTGTTGTAATGAGAATATGGTCTTAATTTTTTAAATTTCTTTTGTTAATTGTCTTAACTCTGAAAACAAGAGAAACAAATGAAACATCACTAAAGGAACTGATGGAAGTCTTGCCATTTTAACATGTGTACCCTCTAACAGTAATGCCCCAAGCCACTAAAGAAATACACTGTTAAAAAGAAAGGGAGGAGAAAACCTTGCTAGACATCACTTCTTTTGACTTAATTACATTGACAGGTAGGCCACTGTTCAATGGAATAATGAAGGGTAATGAATATCTATCTATTCCCTCTGCCACAGGAGCATTAAAAGAAGTCATCAGAAGTAACACTCCAGTTTTCACTCTGCAGAACTTCACTAAAAAGCTTAAGCCTTTGTTGAAGCAAACAGCAACTAAAACCTGGGAATCAAACCAAATTTAGCTGTAATTTCATTTGCTCCAGGTAGAATTCAGGAGACATTTCAAGTTACAAGTGGAACTGAACTTGCATAGGAAAATTTGGGTTTGGTTCAAATCTAGTCCAAAGAGGAAAAAAAATGAAAAAGGATTCATTAACTTCACAAAATACTTACCCTCTTTCACAAGAAAAAGTAGCTTTTGAATTAATTGTAAGATTTGTCACGTGAACATAACCATGATCTAATTCTCCTGGATGGTTACAGCTTCTCTCTAGGGGGAGGAGGAAAAGAAAAGGGAAAAAAACAACCCACCTTTGTAGTTATACAGACTTAAATCTTTAGCATATACTACTCTTACAGTCATCAGTGAAGCACTTTCAAGCTTCATCCAACACATTACAGAATCATACTAATTCTGACATGAGAAACAACTGTTAAACGTCAACAGGACAAAGCCACAAGAGCCGAGGCACACGTTACCTGTGCAGAACTGCTCCACGGGGGACCACTGCAAGTCTGCCCCACACGTCCGCCTGGGCGACCTGCCGGGGATGGCTCGATAGCCCGGCCGGCAGGCGTAGGACACCGTGGTGCCCACCGGGAAGCTCTGTGCCGCGGCGAAGCTCTCCTCCAGCTCTGCGTAGTACAGCCTGCTGGGCGGCGGGCACGCGTCTGCCCGAGGAAGAGGAAGGGAAAAGCAACGCACAACCTTCTCAACAAGAGGGGAGAAGCTGAGGCACAGCAGCAGGACTAATGCAGTAATTGCTCATCACTAAATCAAAGGGGGGACCTTCTTCAGAGGCAGAACCATTTGTATAACTACGTTTCAATCTTTTTTAATTTAAATTTCAATTTCAGTGTCTAACTCCACGCTAGCACAGGTTACATAGTCATTTGTTTTCTCAAGTTCTTCTTTAGCATTCCACCCAGACAATGCATTTCCTTCCAGTTCATATTTTATATCCGTTTGCCTTATTCTTGGAGTTAAATCAATGATTTAATCCACCGGATGCTCCTCTATAGTACAACGCCTCTTGAGCCTGCTGCAGGAGAACCGAACCACGCCACACTCCCACCCCTCCCCTCCCCTCCCAAGACAAAGGGCTGGGCAGACCACAGAGGGGAGCGAACACCGGCCCCGCCACCCAACGGAGACCAACACCCCGGGGACGTTCTGAGCACAGGTTAACGCTGAAGATCTAAACCCGCTCCATGCTGGAGGCCTCTGAAAAACCCAGCCAAGACCTGGCAACCCAGACACGAGTGTCAGACCCGCCCGGCCCCTGCAGGACCCGCGCACCGACAGAGGCCATCGCCCCTCTGGCGAGACCTGCTCATTTCCTTCAAAACCTACGTATATTATTGTTTAGAGATTTACCAAACATAAAAGAAATCTAAAC